ATTTCCAAAATCTATTTCTAACCATTCATTTGGTATTGAATTTATTTGATTTAATGGACACCATGCACCACCATACTGTTCTGTTCTAGCTCTATGCATAAAAACAAGAATAATATATAGAAATTGTTTCTTTAATTAAATAACTTACCGACTAGCTTTAGATCCAACAGTATTCGAATCATAACTACTCGATACTGATATAGCTGAATCAGGAATAGAACCTGATTGCATGCCTAATGCTGTTTGACATGTTGATGATTTTTCTATGTGAAATAAAATAATATATTTAATAAGTAAATTTTAAATAATTTTAAATATTTACTTAATTCAAGAGAAGAAATTGTTTGAATGTATAATAAAATAAATATGAATATTTTCATAATAGTTTTAATAATTATTGATATATCTAAGAAATAAAAATTAAATAGAATAATTAGAAATTATTTAATTTGAAAGATAAAAATGATTTTCATAAATATTCTATGTTAAATACAAATGATGATCATAATAAACAATGAAGATTTTTAAATAAGAAACAAATATGATAATTTACATTTGTTTGTTTTTCTCACTTATATATGACAATGATAATCTGATTAACAATAAAGTGTGATATAAAGTAAATTCTTTCTAAATTGACTAAAGAATTTATAAACCATTCTAAATTATTCATATGATTAATAGAATAGATAAGTATAAATGCATCGTATATTCACTTTCGTTTTGTTATCAATACTATTGAAAAGGTTATAACTGAATAATGTCTTCGTGTGATAGTATAACATAACTATTCAACATATATTCTCAATTGCTTTAGGGTATATTCACTTCTTTTTCTTCTATAAAGACTAGTTCAAAAGAATTACTATTCAATCTTAAGCAATAAAACACCGACTTTTTGTTTTTTAATAAGAAAATATGAAAACAAGAAAAATGTATGCGCGCGAGTATGCATTTATCAACTAGGATAATAACAACGAATGTTATCGCAAAAATATACGCATAGACACACACTCACAAAACATGCTTTACGATTGAACTAATAATGTTGTTATTGATGTTTGAGCGCTTGTCAAGTGAAAGTCACGTCCACTTCAAAAAAACAAAAGTGTTATGCATATAATTCAAACAGAAAAAAAATATTTACATAAAAAAAGAAGAAAAAAAAAAAGATGATGACAATACAGCTCAGTCTTGTCGTACTAATCAATTGATGAACTCAAGACAGTACACAATGAAGGAGTTTATTTAATGACAGTTGATGAATAGACAGACATATTGTCACGCTTAGTTAGTGAAATGTAACCTATTTTTCAAAATCGATAAATATACTTTGCATGATATGTACTGTATCATTGTCATATGAAATGTTAAGCTTTATAATTAGATGAGCACGAGAATAACTCGAAGGGAAAAGAAAAATCTTTACTAAACGTGTGAACAATACTTGACACGGTTGACCATGGTAGTGATCACATGAGTCAATAAACAGACGTACCGGTAATGCTTATTTCTTCTTTTTTTTTCTGTTCTGGCCTCTCTCTCTCTCTCTCTCTCTCCCTTTCTTTCTGTTCACCCTCCAACTACGATTAGTCATCGATAATCGTCATTTGAACGACAACTAAAGAAGCATAGTGGGAGGATAATAATAACTACAATCAGAACTAACCGGAAGAGAATGACTTATGGCATATGAACATATAGAACAAGAAGTAATGATGGTGACGTAGAGAATAACCTTTTATGAATAAAGAATAGCAGCTCGTAACTTTCTCATGATAACCGGCACAAGCATGTGTTTAATGGACTTAATTGAATTTTGTAAATGAAAGGAGGCGGAACAAGCAGGCCTTGGCACGAAGAAAAAAAAAGAAGAAGAATGCCATTTCATTAAACAAAGTTTCTTATTTCTATTTTAAGATAATGAAAGCAAATGTACTTAGTTTGTGTCACATTCAATAGAAACTATGGCTGATAAAAAGACATATACAGTGATGTAACAATGTATTATTTTTCTTTTTCTAAAGATTTATACAGATGTTCATTGCACCTGAATACAAAACTAATAGAAAAAGAAGATGATTTTTTTTTTTTTATTGTTAAAAAATCTTAAAGACAGCTGACACTCACATAATGATTTCATGGACAACTTTCTTTTTTTTTTTGTTCTTGATTATATTGTCCATCGAGACTCATACATTGAACGGAATACTAGTTCAAGATGGTCAACTGTTGCCTTTACTCAATAGACTATACATATACATATATCGAGTATTATTAGACCTATCTACAAATATAGACTACTCAAGTAGGTAACTCGAGTTATAGTTCTCACCATTGTTTATCAATGAGTATCACTTTGACGACGATACTTTGTTGTTTGATTAAAAATAAAAACTAGTTTGCATGGTCAATAGGCATATACAATGAATGAACAAGTATACACACATATATATATATATATTGAACAGAGCGTATCGTCGCATGTTATTAGAACATTAGATGTAGTAGACACACAGATATGCATGTATAAACTCAAGAAAAAAACAATCAATTCGCAACTTTTTCATAATTAGTAATATTAGTTATACGAGTATCTTACCATCAATTTGGAAATTTTATACAATAGAATTCTATTGCTATTTGCAATTAAAAAGAAAACAAAACAATCACAGACGATAGACATAGGATTACTCTATATAATGTTCGTTGCTCATGCATATGATCAGGAACGGATTAAATTTAGAACATTGCTTGATTAGCTCTTACTGCTTCTAGGTATAGATATAGACTCTATTGTCAAAGTCTCAAGTGGATACCTTTTCTTTTTTTCCTATTCTATTTTCAATTGTAGTCAGAAAATGAATGCTGTTGTCGTTCACTTTGTATCCGAAGGCAATGAGACGAGTGAAAAAAAGTAAAGAGAAAGTTATAATCATTAAAATAATGAGCATCCATCATCACACATCTGTACAATGCCTTTCGCCCTTTTCTCAATGAACAACTAACTTATGTATTTGTCTTTGAAATAAACGCGCGTCCTCTTCCGTCTTACCCCCTCATGTGTGATTCTTCCTTCTAAGCATTAACGAGTAGACATTTGCATTAGCCTGTCCAATTAACTAACTCGATCAATCGAAAAGAAAAAAAATCAAGGCTTTTTATGTACGTATACTTAATATCACAGTTGGAGGGCGGTGACAAAAATTTTGTTCAATCTATTCACATATGTATACATACATACATAGAACTTGTATAGTTTCCTGTCTACATTGTGAACAATTGAATATTCAAACCATCATATTAATGCAAACATTGTGATTTTAGAAAAAAAAAAAAAGATCAACAACACTTACTCATATAGTTTTAGTTTGAAAAGCTTCCATCTATTAAGTATCGATTCTTTTTTTTCTCTGTTAAAACTATTGTTTATTCACTCTAGACATCCGTCATCAATTTGGATACATATATATCTATATATAAAAGGAAGAAAAAAATGAATGCATAAAATTTTTTTCCCGTTTTTTTTCTTCTATATGTTTTAACAAAGAGAGGTCATCTAACATGTATATATCTTCTTTCGGAATTGCACTATGAGAACAAGTAATGAACAAGTTGGCGACAACATCTGCTCAATAAGGATACTAAAGAAAATATATAGCCATTACATTCATGAATACATATAAATATAAATAATTAATTAAAATGGATCACTTGATGGAAAAAAACCCTGATTTAATATGTTGTTTATCAATTGTATTGATTGTAAGAGTCTTTTATAAATTTTATTGTAGATTACATTTTGAGCCATACAAAATCAAACATAATCCATGATGAAACTAAATTTTCTATAATTATTTATGAAGACAAAATAGGTATATATAGGTCTAAAAACATTTCTTTCCCGTAATAGATTGAAGTTGAATCAGTGCGATCTGTAAATAATTGAGTATTCATAATATACATTGACATGATATTTGTTTGTTTGAAGAATATATTTATTTCATTTTGACATCGATCAATTGACGAAATCGTTTGTTCAATTGTTTGATCTTACAGTTGATACCGATAAAAATGGTAGTTTTAATGTATTCTCTATGTCATCGATTAAGGAAAATGGAATGTGTTTTTTTCCCATAGAGAATAAATCGATATTTATGTGAATTTTTTTTTTCATAGAACTCTTTTGTATAATCATGATTTCAATAGGAATAATTATCACGTAACTGATATTGTCCGTATAGAAGGAGGCGAAACGTTTTGATTCTAGAGTCAGTTCAACATTTTTTTATAAGACTCGCATCTGAAAGTTAAAAATGCGAGAAGATTAGTTGTTGTATACCATTTAGATGAAATATAGTGGATAGTTCTTTTTTTCGAGCTCACATTTTGCAGCGTATAACAGTATCGGAATTTCGTAAAAAACCATGCATTCGAAGAAACATGCGAATATGTTTTATGTTCATTGAAATGTAACCTTCGTAAAAAGAGTTGCTGATCTGCTTTACTGAAAAAAAACCAATTGGAATGACGAAGCAGAAATGTTCATAAAAAAAAAAAAACGATATTTCATTTTGATTTTGTTCACTGTTGAAAATGTTTAATAGGCATGTAATCTTCGTTGCTGAAGATTGAAAAAACTATTGCCATTTGTACAGGAATTGTGATGTACTGCTAAAATTTATTAGTCTAATGCAAGGAGAAAAAAAAGGATTTTTAAAGTCTACCTTACCCTGCAAAAAGTGAATATAGGTTATCCTTGGATCTACTCAAGCTTTCTGGTAGTATCGTAACCAAGAATGGAATAGGTCGGACGCCGCCCGACCACTGATCATCTTCACCCTACCATC